GCATTTGAGTGGTATTTAAAATCTGCTGAAGGTGGCAATACTGATGGACAAAATAATCTTGGTTTCTGTTATAGAAATGTTATAGGGACGACCAAGGATGAAAAAAAGGCATTCGAGTGGTATTTAAAATCTGCCGAAAATGGTAATGCCGATGGGCAATATAACCTAGCATTATGCTATTTTAATGGTGTAGGTACAACTAAGGATGAAAAAAAGGCGGTTGAGTGGGTTTTAAAATCTGCCGAGGGCGGTAATCCCCGTGGACAATATGAACTTGGATTACGTTACCGAAACGGCGATGGAATATCATCTAATATGGAAAAGGCTAGTGAATGGCTGCAAAAAGCAAGGAATCAAGAAGTAATTAGTCGCAAAAATCTTGATCTTGATGATTCTCTAAAATCATCATTATTTGAAAATAATTCAATACCTTGGATTCCATTTGAAGGATTAGAGTTTATAGAGGAAATTGGAAAAGGCGGGTTTGCAACTGTTTATTATGCTAAATGGAAACGCACATTTACAACCGGCGGTACTATTTCTGAGAAGGTTGCGCTTAAATTATTTCATGATGCAAACAATAGTTGTCAGGAACTTGTAAATGAGGTGAATAATTTATTAGTTTAATGCTTAAAATAAAGTTTCAAATTTTTAATTAATAATTAATAATTTTAAAGCTAAATGCATATTCTAGAATTGGAACTAAAAATCCAATATTTTTACAATGCCATGGAATGTCAAGGGACGAATACACAGGAAACTATATTCTAGTACTGCAATATGCGAAAATGGGATCTTTACGTGAGAATCTTTATACTATTGCACAAATGAGATGGGAGAAAAAATTAGAATTGGTATCATATATTGCATTTGATCTTCAGTTAATTCACTCACATAATATTATTCATCGAGATTTACACAGTGGAAACATATTCCAAGACGGTTTACATAATGCATATATTGGAGATTTAGGATTTGCGACAGCAATAAACAGAACATTAGAATCTAAAGAAATTTATGGAGCTTTACCATATATTGCTCCTGAAATTTTGCAAGGAAAACCATTTACTAAAGCATCAGATATTTACTCTTTTGGGATAATTATGTGGGAAATTTCTTCAGGTGATATTGCATTTTCTAAATATGAAGGTAGTGATCAAAGTTTAGCTATAGAAATTTGTGAAGGGTTAAGACCAAATATTCTGAAAGGTACAGCAACATGTTATGCAGAGCTTTTAAAAAAATGTTGGGACAAGGATCCAGATAAACGTCCATCAGCTTTAGAAATTTATGAAACCATTAAAAATTGGAAAAATAACTCTAAAATTTTATCGGAATTTATAAATTCTGATAAAGAAATGGTAATAGAAAATAGTTATTCCGACGTTATTATAGATAACAATTCGATTTATAGTAGTAAATTGATTAGTTTTATCAATAAACAACTACATAATTGTGTTATCTCAGATGATAATATTGATATTGAAAAGGTAAAAATGGAGATGGATGCTGAAAAAGTAAAAATGGACATCGATACTGTAAGCGTGAAAATAGATGTTGGTGCTGAAAACGTAAAAGTAGATGCTGATGATAGATATATAAAAGTGAATAATAGTAAAAAAAGAAGTATTTATTAATTTCTATGTTGTAGGTGGATTCGGAATTTTGTGGATTCAGAATCCACTCAAACGGATTCGAATCCAAAAACAACCTAAGTCGATTTCAGATCTTAAAAATATTATTTAAATAATCGAGTATTTAGTAATCATAAATCATATGTATTTAAAATAATTGTACCTATTTCACGAAAGTTTTTAAGTAAAAATTTTAACCTCTAAAAAAATTATTTATTTCAAGACAAGTTTTTAATGAATTGATTAATTAATTTTTTTTTTTAAAAAAAAAGTCTTAATTTCACAATCCAATTAAAATTTATAATTGCGGTACTATATGACCATAGTAATACTGTACAAATTTGGAACTTCAAAGAATCGATTTAAAGTTCTTTCAGCTATAGAAGTTGGGATTGAAACGATTCCAAATTATCACTATCGTTAAAATGAAAATGCAAAAAAATTCTTATGGATATAGACATGTTCTAATTTGATGTGTGGAAACAGTGTCATTTCGTAGTATTAAATGCAAAAAATAGAGAACATATGGAAAAAATAATGATATAATGATAATGCAATGTTATCCGACAAACTCATATGATCATGAAAAACTTTCTTTCTGTTATTTTTTTCATGTGTTACAATGTAATTATGTTTTTCCAATATTCAAAAAAAAAAAAAAAACTCAGCGAGTGACTCCCTACCAATAATGATCATAAATTGTCGGATAATGCAATGTTATTTGCTGTAAAATACATATTTCTTTATTATAGAAATTTATATTGCTTACAATTTTTAAATTCTATTTCTACTTAAGTTGTTTTAAGATTCAAAATACACAAATTGATTCTGAATCTATTTAAATGGATTCAGAATCCACAGAATTCCGAACACAACTACAACATATACATGTAATGCATTGTACATAGGTATTAATTTGTAACATATAATTAAAATTAGGAGAGGACTGTATATAAAATTTCGCAAAGAATTTTAATTAAAACCTATCCTAGGGATTGGAACAACGAAAAATTATGCAGGTGGTTAATCGCGTCGCTTAATTACAAGTTACACGATTAATCACGATTAATAATCATTTGACCGTTTAACCGCTTAACAGTAATCATATAATCGTATGTTTAATCGTTTAAATTCAATCGTTAGGAACTGGAAATCAGCGTAAGTTCAATGTAAAATTTTTTACATAAATAGTTTCTTATAGCGGTTTGCAAAAAGGTGTGATCTCTACAGATCATAATGTCATGTAAAATCACGAGAAATCAGCCGATTCTAGTAGATTTTTCGATTCTTAGAGAATTTTAAAGATTTCGAATAACATATAAACGTTATTTATCGAAAATTATGATCAATAGGGAATTAAAATCTCGGAAATTTTTCCACTATCATCATCACGAAATCACAGGGTCATGCCTTTTTGCAAACCGCCATAATACAATAATACAATAATATATGAGTATTACAAAATTGAAACCAAAAAGTGAATATTTAAGTTTTCACTATGATAAACTTCAAAAAATTATAATATTGCATAATTGAATTACAAATACGATCAGTTAGCCACAGTAAGGACTTGAATATCAGATATTCAGATATTCACGTGAGGCATTAAACGATTAATCGTATAAAATTTAAAAAATGGTTAAGCGAATAATTTAATGGCTTTTAATCGTTTATAAAACTTCTTACTCGTTTACCGTATACTATAAATAAACGGCTAAAGGCGGTTAAACGAATAACGGTTCCAATCCCTAGTTTCGCCTCACTACTATGCTTTTAGCCTATTTAATAAAATATCGAATTCCTCTTTAAATATTAAGAATATTTCAAATCTTTTATTGAAAATATTAAGAAAGAATGCTAATATACTATAGTTACAATACTATAAAAGTTAAAAACTAGATTAGTTACATAGAATGAATTATAACTCTATTCCCAGAAAATCTTTTTTTAAAATAAGCTTTAAACCTACTTTGTTAGCAAAATATTAAATTACGCGTACGTACCAGTAAATTATATTAAATCACAATCATATGTATTGGTAGATAATTTTAATATTCCGTCGTACGTAATCATTATAAAGACATTACAATTACAACCTCCAGAAAAGCCATAATTAGTTACAGCATATATTTCTATATATAGTTATTATAACGATAACTTGTTTTGCTTATTTAAAACTAGTTTGGAATTTATCTTTTAATTGCGATATATCGGAATATTATATTTTAATTAATATAAAATTATGATAATAACACATTGAATAATATCTGATATCATCGAATTTTAAAAAAAAATTCTTTAGAATTTCTTATTTAGAGACAAAGTAAATCGGAGACAAAGTAAATTGGTGATTGAAAAATGTACAGTACGTAATGGAATCTACACTTGTTTTATTGTTTATAGGTATTTATTTTATAGTATCACCGACGCAAAATACCGATACTACGTACGTACAGATTTCTTTTATTCATGCACCATCCTATATATGTGAAGCATGACTTCAGGATAATCCGAGCCTAATTATTGTCATTCGGATTATTCTGTTTATCTGTTTTAACACCATAAATAACGTAATCGTGTAACGTGGATCTTAAATGAGAAATTTCCGCTGTAGTAACCGTAGTAGTATCTGAGTTTCTGGGTATTGTTTTACTTTCATAAAGGAATTAGGCAAAATGTGCAAAGTAGAATAACATTTGAAAATTCTTATATAAATGCCATGCATTGATTTTTGAGACCTCTGCCTTAAACCAATTTGGCAAATTAACTCGTAAGTTTTTTTTTTTTTTTTTTTGATTTGATTTGTGTATTTTATTATCAGTTATTGAATATATTAACGATTATTTTAACTTTAACAGTAAGAAATGTATGTCCCAATTAAGCAGAAAATAAATAGCTCTAGTGATTTAACAACTATAATATATGAAGGAGACGATGAGTTTCCTGGTAAAGCCGTGGTAACTTCGGGTGAATTTGATATTTATAATGGTGGCTCATTTTTTTAAGATCTATGTTTCAATCATAGTGTATTATAAGATCGTTTTTAAATAATAAAATTACCAAGATAATATATTCTATTTCTTATAATAAATTAATAATACATGCAAAAATGTTCTAGTTGTTCGTTTGACATAATATTTATCGTGTGTTATTCTTGTTTTTACATCTAATCTCCTTATCATACCAGGTACGTACAGTACGTAAGTACATATCTGGTATCAGGTATGTATTGACTTACCTGTTAGCTTTAAGCATGTACGCATGTAACAAATATATAATTAATTAAAAGTCACACTAGTGTACACATGCACATTTAACATTTAACGTATGTACGTACGCACTCACATGTGGTATAAAGTATGGTTTAGTTTCAACAATAAGAAGTCGTCATAATCAAAATTTCACACTATATATTGTACTATAATGCTGTCTATTATTTGGTGTTCTTTTTATAAACAAGTATTCATCAAAAAAAAGTTATTATATCTTAAATATCAAAGCCTTTAAGTTTTAAAAAACAGAAACGCTGCATATGCACAACGTTAAATAATAAGGTTACGAACTTTGATATTTTTGCATCTATAAATCTTAATACAGTACTTCAAAAAAAAGAACGATTATAAAGTATTCTGATACAAGGCCATAACTTGTTAATTTTTTTGACTTACAGTACCGCATTTCAATTTCCAGTACATTAATCTATGATAGAGTAACCAGGTAAGTTTCGTTTTTATAAAAAAAATTGTTTCAGATACCATATTTCTATAATAAAGACCTCAAAGCGCAAGTAGCTTTACTTGTGTTATAATAGTTATTTTTTTAAAAAATTTGGTTTATTTAATTGGAGTCAGACATCGTCCCTTACATTCATAATTGGACCCATGCTGCCTATCAAAGAATCACGATTTGTTCGCTCTCTAATCTGGTGACAAATTTTACACAAATTCTCATAAGTCTTACCCTTTTCCCACTCCCATATAATGTTTGATTATTGACTACCTTATAAATATATTTAACGAGGTCTTCAACATTTTCAATATCACACCTTTTATATAATTGAATGTGAGAAAACGTAATAGTCAATATCAGATGCGCCCATATATAGCAGATAACTGATAAGGATAGAACCATAGAAAAGAATCGTAAACTTTTTCTGTGACCTTTACAAGACGAAATTTATGACTATTTTTTACAACATCTATGTTAGTTGAAAAGTATGCTTTCCTAATACCGCATTTCTAATGAGTGAGCTGCTATGTGTTTCATTAATTCATACGCATAATCATTAACGATTATCCATAGGATCACAATTACTAAAAATTCAGGAAACAAAAATATCTTTTTTTCATTAAATGATATATGAGTCTCATAAAATTTAGGGATATAATCTTTATGTATTCCCATACGCCGGTTGGAAGATACCAAAGAGATCATTAGAGAGCTCATGGTATTGACGCAAGACATTACTAAACATCGATAGACAATTAATTTCGTGCCCTATTGTATAATGATTCTTTAGTAGCATGGTAATTAAAAAGAATTAAAGAACGAAATATTATTTCTTTGCATATACTGTATATAAATTTTGTTAATTTCACACAAGGTATGACATTATACAGTACGCGAAAGACATCTCTACAAGATGGTATAAAAAATGATTAGTGCACAATTACAAGCACTTAAGCGTATGGTGTTTGTACATTCGAATAATCCCAGGTATCAATTGTAAGCACAGAGAATGTAAACGACTCAGGTACTATTTTAATGTATTATGTCGCAAATATACAACACAAAATAAACATTTTGGTATTGTATGTACTACGACTAATTAAGTTTGGCGTTGTTGCCATAAAATGTTCGATTAAGATAAAGTTCTGACAAATTTAGAAAGTGATATATTTTAAATTTACCGATTTCCCGATTCCATGTGTGAGATTGGGGTGCGCGATAAACTATATAAATAAACTACAGTATGTGGTGTCATCTAAGATTTCATATATAATATAATTTATAATATTTTCGCGAAATTTAAATAAATGTAATACCCTTATGGTTCAGTATTTTAGGTTAAAGGTCAATATTGTATAGCTCTACGAACAAAGTTACCAATTCATTTCTTTTAAACTCGGAGAATTTAAAAAGTGATTAAACTAAGTATTTCTTATATATATACTGTATATATATAGTATATATTTAAATTATATTTAAATGATAAAAATTGCTTCGTATCTTTACTTGTGGAGCTATAATGTTGGTCTTTGTAAAATTTTAAAATATTAAACCGTTAAGTGAAAAATTATTCTAGTAATTATGATTTTAGAAAAATTTTTATACGATACCATTTATAGTTTTGACTTGCGTAGTATATCGCACACTCCAGTGTGGGATACATTGAAAAGAGCGATGAAATAAATAATAAATAATTGAAACAAATCTGTCATTATTAAGATTTAAAACCTTTTTACAAAAAATGCTGGCATGGGCGACAAAAAAAACAATAAATTATTCAGCAGCTTACGATGCTGCCGGATAAGATAAAGTTTAGTCCTAACTATAAATGCGACAATCATTTGCACCTGTTATAATATTTATAGAGATTTTCAAAATTTAATAAATATTTTGTTCATTAAAAAACCTGTTTGAATTTACCTTTAATGTCGAAAACAATTTTTGACATGTCAGGTTTATTAATAATAATTTACGTAATATAATTTGACACTTCGAAAAAACAGTATATTAATTTTTTAAATATATATATATATATATTGTATGTATAATATATACCATTTACATTATATCGATATTATTAAGATGTAACTTATTAACATATAACATATTATACATTAAATATATATAGTATATATCCTATAACACTAAATATATATATATTAATCGCATTAATAATTGAGTCAAGATTCATGATATAAGATTTTTCTAGCTTAAATTTGCGGAATTCCTAAATCATAGTTACGTAGTATTTAAACAAAGTAAATTGAAAAAAAAAATTTTTAACGTACGTACGTACATACGTACGCACATACAATAACAGATAATATATACGTATTATTTGTTTCATAGAGTACCACTAATTGTGATGTTCCGATATTTAGCTTTTGCATGCGCATGATCATGCGCTCGTGCAAATCATGCATGGTGTGGCAAGCGCCTATTTATTTTTTAGAAAAAAAATCAAAAACTTTTACCGGTAAATATTGCGCAAATATGGCATAATTTTTATACTATACGCAATAGGCGTTAGCTAATTTTTTAGATTTGTTTTCATGTTATTTTATGACAGACCGTTCTACTTTGTTTAAAATTTTAATAAAGTAGCTGACTGAACAAAGTGAAAAAAAATTATAAAAATGAATGTCTACAGAACTAATTTTACCTCGAGCTCCGTGCTTTAGTGTTTAATACTCTAACGGACATTCATCTTACGGTCAAACACATAAGATGCAAAAATTAATCAGTTTCATTGAAAAAAATAATTCTGGCGATCTGCCAGTCGTAATATATGAGGGGGATGAATTCCCGATAAAGCCTGCATCCCCTTCGAGTGAATTTGATATTCTTAAAGGGGGTTCATTTTAAAATCTATTATTTTAAGATTATGATATTATTCTTAAGACCTATCTTATGAACAATAAAATATATGTAGTTACTCGAGTATTAATATTAATATTCGACAAGTAATTAATCTCATCAAACCCCCCCCCGCAGTCTTGTACATAATAATAATATATCCGTTCCTCTTTATAACGGACTGACGGTCTTATGTTTCAAATCAAAATTATAAAAAAGTTAAGCAAAAAAAAAATCAAGAAAAAAATAAGTTATTTTTATATAGAATAATTAACTTGGAGGTTATACCATTTCTTTAAGATTTGTTAGAGCAAAAAAAAAAATATATAATATTTATGATTTTTTTAAATTAAAAAAAAAAGAAGTTAAAAAGCAATTAAAAATTTAATTTTTAATTTTGTAACCGAATAAGAATGTTTTATTTAAAACAATGTAATTATATGCATTTTAAGCTTAAATTATTTATTTGGAATGTAAAAAAATAATTAGTTAGTAAATTTTTTAAAAAGTTTAATATAAAAGATCTATAAAAAGAATCTATTGTTTTTTAATAAATATTGATTTAGTTAGATAATACAACTTAATAAATTGGTTCTCATAACCTGATCAGATTAAATTTTTTACAAAATTAATTTTATAAAAAAATAAAAGTTAAATTGTTAAATTATTATAAAATTTTATAACAAAAATCAAAAAAAAATTAACTTTGTGTGATATTATATTTTTTTATTTAAAAAATGCATTTATTATAAAACGCACTTATGGTGGTTTTGCACCTATTATATGTTTATTATGTTTTTTTAGATTATTCTAAGTTATGAATATAAAAATATTCAACACAAAATTTTCATGTTAGTTAGTATTCTGGGTTAGGGTTAGGGTTCAGAAAGAGGCTTTTAGGGCGTAGAGCATTTTTACTTAGAACATCTTGCATTGATTAATTAGCCAATTTTTGAGATAATATATATATAGGTGTAAAACACCATAGGTGCGTTTTAGTAAAAGTCTAAAAAATATATTTTAAAATATATTTTTTTAAGATTTTTTAAGATTTTAAATATTTTTAAAAATAAAAAAAATTTATTATTATAGTAATTAGTTATAAAACTTATTTTTTAAATGCGAAATTTACTTGTAGGCCAATACAACCTTTCATTCTACATTAGCTTTACATTTGTTGGAATTGAAGTCCAAGGTTTACAATATTGCCAATATGTAATAAGTTTTTTCAAATGAATTATTTGAAGAACCAGAATCCTGTTTTTAAGTTTTTAATAAATCATATATTTATTGGAAGTTTTTTTTACATTTTAATGAATGACCTTTTAAGTTTTTAATAAATCATATATTTATTGGAAGTTTTTTTTACATTTTAATGAATGACCTTTTAATTGGTCAACTAAATAAACAGCCTTCTTCGCAATAATTACATTTTTGGCGAAGTGTTGTTCGATCATGTTTATCAGGTTCAGCAACTTATGTAAGGTTTAAACGGATTTCTTTTGACGAGGATCTTTCACGAACATGAGACATTGTTTTGAAGAATTTTCTTATTCGATTTTTTTTTGAACTTTGTAATCATAATACATTTAAATTACGCAGTCAAATCATAATTACGTCAGAATATATTAAACCATTTTTTAACAGATTTAAATCAAACAAACATGATTTTTAAGATCGTGTTTTAAAACATTTGCCATCCCTAGAAGGAACGTAATAGTCTATATCAAGTACACCAATATATATAGCAGATAGGAATAGAACCATAGAAAAGAATCGTAAAATTTTTTATGTGACCTTTACACTTTGAATTTTCGAAAATTAGACGAAATTTATAGAAAACGAATATATCCGAGTTAAATGATATGCAATATCTCCATTTTTATTAATGCCGTATTTCTCACGAACAAAGTCTGGCAATTCTTTGATTATGGATACATCTTCCAATGAGTGAATTGATATGTGTTGATGTTGCATTAATTTATAAGCATGATTGTTACGATTATGGCAATTCAGGAAACGAACCATTTTTTTCATTAAATGATCAGAGTTTCGTAAAATTTAAGAGTATGGTCTTTATGCATTCTCTATGCTCGATTAGAGATGTCAGAGATCAGTATGAGAACTCATGGTATTAATGTAAGATATTATTAAGTATCGATGGTGTTTCATACTTATTAAAGCTATCCAAAAGCCATATTTGTATAAAATAAGTTTCTTTTTTTGACATGATAATTGAAAAAAAAATTAAAAAATCGAAATATTATTTCTTTGCATATGTATAGGATTTTCATGCTTCTTTACACATCAATATTAACATACATAGTTTTTACCAGTGCACAATTACAAGCACTTAGGTGCATGACAATATGTAAACGTGTTTTAGATGTGTGTACATTTGAATAGTCCCAGGTATCAATTGTAAGCACAGAGAATGTGAGAGACCAGGATACTATTTGCCAAAAAATTAATATATTACACGTACAGTCAACTCTGTCTATTCCGAGCTGCCCGTTCTTTGATATTTAGTTCAGTTCTCAAAGAGGTATTATATTCTAATCCGAACTTTATAATAAAATTTATAAATGTCTTAGAGTTTTAGGTTCGGATTAAAGAGAGTTCGGATTAGAGAGAGTTGACTGTATATCGAAATTGTACAACCAAAATAAGAATTATGGTACTATATATGCACCAGACGTAATTAAGTTTGATGTTCATTTTACCTTTAAAATATTCGATTAATTTGGAAAAGATAATAATCCCTTACATTTTTAGAATAATTTCCCGATTTCCCGATTCCATGTGTGAGTACGTACGTACGTACGTATGTAAATCAAAACTATATATCTATGTTTATTATACACACATAAAACTTAATCTCTAAAACTTTTATATAGAATATAATATTTACTTATTTAAAAATATTTGAATTTATTGAATCAGAAATCGAGTTATTTGACAGCCAAGTTTTAGTCCTAATTATAAAAAAATTTGTTAAAAACTAGTTCACCTGAAAAATTCAATTTCTAGTTCAATAAGATTTGCACCAGTTGTATTGGTTATCGTGTATGTAAATATACCAGTTCGAAGAACTGGTTTTATTTGGTTTTGTTTTTTTATCCGATTTGGAAATTTTCAAATTTAATAAATATTTTTTTGTTCATTAAAAACCTGTTTGAATTAACTTTTAATGTCGAAAACAATTTCGATATATATCAGGTTTACAAATAATAATTTCCTTTGACACTTTGACAAGTTTCGTCCACTATATTAATTTTAAATAATTAATTTTAAATAATAACATTTGCACTACTTATTAATATATTATATTATATATTAAACATATATATTTATATAATATATATTTATATAATATTTATTTATAGAAAACATATACATTAATCGTATTAATAAATTTATTAAGTTTAACTATATTTTGATACAAATTTTCTATATTTATACCTGTAAAGAATTATATATATATAATTTATATATATATACCTAATACTGGAATACTATAATGTATACATTGTAGTATTGTGTTTATTGTAAAATATTATTCCGGACTCTGGGACCAAATTACGTAAAAATTACAGCAGTTGCGCAGTTAATTTGATAATTGTTACTGCGTGGTAAATTTACTAGTCTTTTTTTTTTGTTTAAATTTAATAAAGTGTCGAAGTAACTTAAACAAAGTAAGAAAAACTATAAAAGCATGATGCTTTTTCCAGAATTTACATTAATTAAGCTAAGTTTTTGACTTCAATAAATTTGAAGGTAAATAAATTTTTTTTAATTTCATAATTTTATTATTGAATTCGCTAACGATTATTTCAAAATTACAGTAAGAAATAAGTCTTAATTAAGCTTTAACATAAGAACTTAAAGTTAAATACTTTGAATCAATAAGTGAGTATACAAGTTTTTTTGATTCGTGTTTTTAGTGTTGGATTTTCTAACGAATATTTCAATCTTGCAGCAAAATAAATAAACAATGGAAAACTTCAACCGTAAACTCGACAAAAATAATGGCGACTTACCAGCCGTCATATATGAAGGGGACGAGTTTCCAGCAAAACCCGCACCCCCATCAGGTGAATACGATATTTTCGGGGGCGGGTCTTTTTAATCATATGAACTCTACTATTATGTTATCATTTTTAACGACAAGAATATGTTATACTTTTCTATTAAGAGTAATAAAATTATCTTATGTAAAAATATGTGTTCTAGTTACTCTATAATTAATATTTGACAAGTGTTCTGAAAAAAAAAGAACGGCGATCTCATAATATCGGTGCATCTACAATTAGTTATAGTTATTGTATGGGTTGTAAAAAATAACTAAATTTGCACGGGGTTACATGGCCGAAGGCCATGCCGTGCAAA